GTTGTGTGGTTGGACTGTGGTTGTGTGGTTGGACTCTGGTTGTATGGTTGGACTCTGGTTGTGTGGTTGGACTCTGGTTGTGTGGTTGGACTGTGGTTATGTGGTTGGACTCTGGTTGGACTTTAGTTGTGTGGTTGGACTCTGGTTGTATGGTTGGACTCTGGTTGTATGGTTGGACTCTGGTTGTGTGGTTGGACTCTGGTTGTGTGGTTGGACTGTGGTTATGTGGTTGGACTCTGGTTGGACTTTAGTTGTGTGGTTGGACTCTGGTTGTATGGTTGGACTCTGGTTGTATGGTTGGACTCTGGTTGTGTGGTTGGACTCTGGTTGTGTGGTTGGACTCTGGTTGTGTGGTTGGACTCTGGTTGTGCGGTTGGACTCTGGTTGTATGGTAGGACTCAAGTTGTGTGGTTGGACTCTGGTTGGACTTTAGTTGTGTGGTTGGACTCTGGTTGTATGGTTGTACTCTGGTTGTGTGGTTGGACTCTGGTAGGACCCTGGTTGTGTGGTTGGACTTTAGTTGTGTGGTTGTGTGGTTGGACTCTGGTTGTGTGGTTGGACTGTGGTTGTATGGTAGGACTGTGGTTGTGTGGTAGGACTGTGGTTGTGTGGTAGGATTGTGGCTGTGTGGTAGGACTGTGGTTGTGTGGTTGGACTGTGGTTGTGTGGTTGGACTTTGGTAGGACTGTGGTTGTGCTCTGGTTGTGTGGTTGTGTTCTGGTTGTGTGGTTGTGCTCTGGTTGTGTGGTAGGACTCTGGTTGTGTGGTTGGACTCTGGTTGGACTTTAGTTGTATGGTTGTACTCTGGTTGTGTGGTTGGACTCTGGTAGGACTCTGGTTGTGTGGTTGGACTTTAGTTGTGTGGTAGGACTCTGGTTGTATGGTAGGACTCTGGTTGTGTGGTTGGACTCTGGTTGTGTGGTTGGACTCTGGTTGGACTTTAGTTGTGTGGTAGGACTTTAGTTGTGTGGTAGGACTCTGGTTGTATGGTAGGACTCTGGTTGTGTGGTTGGACTCTGGTTGTGTGGTTGGACTCTG